GTCTATTTAATAAATTCACATGAAAGCAAAGGCAACGGAGAAAAGTTGTAGGGGTGAGAGAGAAAACATGGAGAAGCAGGAATTAGTAGCTGTTTCAGATAAGGAGTGGAGAGATGAAACAGAACAAAAGGAAGGAAACATACTAGAAGAGGTAGCAAGTGGTAGAAGTAGCAGTGTCTTTAAACAGCCATTGTAAACTGAATTACACTGAGTATACCAAACACCTCTTTATTCAAACTTCAATAATTAGGGACCTTTGTCCAAAGGAAATCTATGTAGTACAATAAATTGAAAAGTAGTCATTAACATGTAGAAGAAATCCTTTTCAAAAATGCAGTGTTACATTGCAGTGACAGGCCATCTCTGTTATGTAATATTAATGAAAAAAATTATTTTTCTGGAATAAACAGTCATATGGCAGACAAATCCAGCTCATCATCTCTTAGAGTTTTGGCAGTGCTATTGAAAATGCTTAGAAATGATAACTGGGCCTCTTAACAACTTTCCCATTCCAATGTCCTTTTGGAGATTTCCATCTGAAGAAGTAAGAGCAGGCCAAGCAGAGCATGTGTTTCTGCCTAGATAGTTGTGAATTTTACAGTATGTCCTTCGTTTAGGGATCTTTTGACCTGAAGGTGAATGTACCTAGAGGTAAAAAATCTTGGGGAATTTATACCTTTATTTGGTAATCTCAGTTGATGTCCTCTTACTTGTCTGAGCAGCACTTCCTTACCTTCCTTATTTTCCTCCATGTTTCATACATAATTTTAAAGTCATGGTCCCACACTTCATCATTTACCTCACTGTGGATTTCTTACTTGTAATTTCTTAATTTGGAATAAAAAATACAAATCTTTTAACTTGGTTTTCATTACCAGTTTTCTGTACACTTTTAATACTCCTTGTGGCTTTACAATCTTACTGTATACCTCTGATGTGAGTGGGCTAGAAATATAAACTGTGTTCAAGGTCTTGAGGAGTCTGCATAACTCAGACAAAACGTTTTCTTTTCCATTCTATTCATTTTAACTCCTAAAATTTTCTTAATTTTCTAAACATTTCAGTGCATTGGCCTGAGGTGTCAGGATTTTATGAATGGTAACATTTAGTTTAGAGCTTATTGGTGCATATGAACAATGAGCTGGGATATAATATGAGCTTATTTTCCCATGTATATTACTTTGAATTTGCTGACATTGGTAATGTCTACCACTTCATATCGCAGTCATTCAGCATTATGACAGTGTCCTACAGTGTTGTCACCAAATGATTCTATTAGATCCTTAATGCATGCTGTAAAATAGAAGTCTCAGAACCCTAGTGTTATCCTATTCTACTGTTAATATCATCAGCTTTAATTTCTTTCTATCTTTCCATACATCTATTATTAGTCCATGAAAACTTAATTTCATCATAAATCTCTACTGAAAAATGTTGTTAAAAACTTTCTGAAAAGCCAGTGTCAAGTAACTATTTTCCATTTGGTCATTGATTCTTTGAATAAACTCCAAAAATATATTTACAGGAGGCAAATTATTTCTTCCTATTTATGTTCACACCTATCCATAGGCGTACTATTTTTTACATGGAAATCAGACTTTCTAATCAGAACTTCAGTCTGAGAACCTTTCTATGAACTGAGACTTTATTTCCCACCATCCATGCTACCAAGGACATTTTATATTTTAACTGAATCACTTACTGCAGTGCATCTTTTTTATATTTTAGTCCCTTTGAAACTCCTAGGTGAGTACCATCTGGTCCTTGAAATTTGCTACAACTCATGTTATTGATTTTTTCTTCATAAAAATGTAAGAATGACTGCACTATGTCAGACCAAAGGTCTATCTACATCAGTACCATTCTCGGACAACACCAGATGTCAAGGGAAGATTATAAGAAAGAAAGAAAGGTGTTTTGGTAGTTCCTTTAAATTCTCCTCTTGCCTTGAACCATTTGTGGTTCAGAGATGGCTGAACATCAAATCATCACTTTATTTTAAAATTCTTAGTGATTTTTTTCTTCTACAAACCTTATAGTACAGGAAGAAAACATTGGACTTGTCACATCTGCCAGCCCCCTTAGCAGAGGTACTCTGTACTGTGCACGGAGAAACAGATCCTTTTGTTTTGTTTCATGGTTGTAATTTCTGGTAGGGAAACCTACTCCATTTTCTGCATCTTCATTAAGTTTACAGATACTCATTAGGTTCACAGACTTCCATCTCATCCATCTTTGATTATCGCTTTTCCAAGCTGAAGCATTGTACATTTTCAATCGTTTGTTGCATGGAATTCCTTCCATATACTTTCACAACATTACTGCCTCTGTCTCAACCTTGTGGTGGGATGTTTTTGTGGTCAGGAAGCAATCTCCAAGCTGGCTCAAAGCATTATAACTTTTCAAATGCATCTTCTATTTTATTTTTAATATACTGTCACATCAGATGATTTCCCTGTTTGAAAGGTACAATCTGTCAGCTACCGCAGAGTAGGTATTTGGTAGCAAAATTTTGAATGGTATCCCAGTCAGTGCTGGGAGAAAGGTAAGCACTAGCTGTATTCTCTTGGATTTGCTAGCTCACAGCTCCAAAAACGGGCTTTCAGTATCTCTGGATGAGATACCAGAGTTTCATCTCTCTCGTGTCCTAACCCGATATTTAGCCAGGCTACATGATTGAAATCTGCTTTCGTTATTGAGTTTTCTGCTGCTGCATCACTTCTCATTTTTTGTGTCCCCAGTCACTTTTACTGTCATGATTTGGAAAGGAATGCAGGAAATGTTAATGTAACCCTAGTATTACCCACTTTCATAGGTGTTGAACATTCCTGATTGATAGTCACTTTATGCCCTTTCTCATTTGACCCTGTTTATAATACAAGGCCACAGTATTGTCAAATGCTGGAATAACTGGCACCTTGTAATTATTTCCTTCTTACTTATTTTCCTTACACCACATTTGTAATATGTCTCTTAAGTGAATATCTTAATTTAAAAACAGGCATTTTTTTGCAGGAAAAACAGGAATGGTCTTGCTTTTGGGAATCATCTCTTCCTTTGGACCCAGTGAAGTGACTTTGCAGGGCTCTGTTGAACTAGATTGAAAATTAGATTCATTGCAGTCAGGGTAAATGTCATATCATGTAGATATTATGCTTCTGGGAATACATTTTTCATCTGTCCTTCTCTACCTTTTTAGATGCATTTTCTTGATCTCTTTGATTTGCCAACTACGAGGGTAGAAAATAACACTGATAAGGAAATGATTCCTGAAGAAACAGAATGTGCTGAGAACAGTTACTTGTTCAGCCAGTGCCTCTCATTCTGTTTTCTGAAGTTTCTGGGAAAACACAACTCAAAAAATAAAGATTTTTGTCTATCTCTGAAAAATACTCATTTCTTCCAGTCACTCTTTACAGCCAACCTCTATCCTGCCTCACTTCAGCAGAGGTTAAGATTTTGTTTTCCATTCATTTTATCATGCCAAGAAAGAAGGGGAAGAGGAAATTTACTCATCAGTCCACACAAAGGTTTGGGATAGTCCATAATAGTCCACAAAAGCTGTCATGAAAAAAGATGCAAAGCCTATGCCTGTAAACATAGATAAAAAAAGGCCTGTTTACTTTTGAATTAGTAGAGTTCTGACTCAGCAACCACCTGAAAGTAAGATATTCATCTTATATCACCTTCTTTTTGAACAATGAAAAGATGAATGGGAAAAAAATCTTGAGAACAGAAAAATTAGCAGGGCAAGCAATGCATGTAAACTGGTGTGAAAAAGCTAACTTAAGTAATTTAGAAAAAGAAAGAATGAACAGATATACTGACTAGTGAATTGTGTAATGAAGATAGATGGTTTGGTGCTCTTAATTTAGTCTCATAATGTGAGAACAAGAAGACACTCAATTACTTTGTGTTAGCAAGTTTAAAAGTGATAAAAGGAAACAATTCTTTATGTTGCGAATAGTAAATCTTTGGAAATCAAATACTCTGAACATTCAGTTACCTGAGCAGTTTAGAATATTCAGAACCAGGCCTTACTGAATGAGAACAAGCACAGCTTTGGTTACTGTTCTGAAGCAGGAAATCACAGTGAAATAGTGTCACTATATCTATCTATCTTTTAAAATGTTGGAGAGCATTTGCAATTTGATTTCAAGACCATGTTCTATATTGGACACCCACAAAAAATTGTGAGAGCTTTTGGTGTTTTATGATCTCTCAAGGAACGTCTATGTTGTTTAAGATTAAGATAATTAAGTTCTCACTTAGAGTGGCAGATTCATTCTCATGTCCTAGTCAGAGAATTGTAGCCAGCATGCCACGCTTCTTGTGAGGGCTGGAATAAAATCCCTTGGGCAATTGATCTCACTGCTATAGCTAGGTCTTGGATAAACACCATTACTTTTTTAAGGCATGTGAATGAATCTTCTCTTGTTGTTATTATGCTTGATGACATCTCTCTTCTTACTGAGGCATTATAGCTGAATTTCTGTTCACTGGACAGTTTGGTTATCTGCAGGGTGTAGGTATCTGTGAGAAGTGTGCTTGGTAGAACAAGGTATAAGCTGATTAAAGTCAAGGAGCCCGGGTGAATGTTTACAGACACCTAGGACAAACTTCAGACATTAAGGCTTTCAGGCAGCACTTACACTGTTGGAGTGGTGATCAGCTGTTCTCTGGATTAGCTTCAACAGTCAATTATTGGCATGGTGCAAGAGACATTTCAACATTTCAGTGTTAAGGTTTCACTGTTAATGAGAAATGTCCTCCCTAGGGAAGGCCAACAGTCCATCTAGCCCAGTGCTATGCCACGGGAAAGTCAAAGAATGCCATTTTAGCAGAGTGCATATGTCCAATTTGCAAGCCATAACTCCTGTACTCCACCAACTTCTGCAGCTACTGTATTAGAATATTGCACATGAGATCTTAATGCATGGTTTTAGTATCCATTTGTGACCCCGTTGCTTATGAGTTTTTCTGTACCTTTTCTTCTTCAGATCTCCCTGCTTCTACTGCCTCCCTGAGCATCAAGGTCCAGATATTCTCCAACCACTGGTAGAACAGGTATTTGTTTTAAATACATGTTGTACTAGCTTGGAGCCACCTTACTTAGTGTCACAGAATTTGTCTGTTGCAGAGTTTAATGAAGAACAGCTCTGCATTACTGTTAATCTCCCCCTGTGAGTTTATAACCTCTGCTCAGGCCCTTTCCTTAGCATTCTTTACAGGAAAGATGCTAACCTGTCCTTGTGACATAGGTACTCCATCTCCTTGATCATTTCAGTTTTCTTCTCTTGTATGCACATTCTCTATATCCACTACATCCTTCTGAGCTGCAGAGATAAAGGACACACAGTCTGCAAGGATGTAGCCATGCTAGATGCAGCCTTTGCCACAGAAACAGCCTTAACAATCCTAAATGACTTCTGCACATGTAGCTGCCAGTTCAGAGCATATCCTAATTCACTGCTCACAAGAAGTCAGCACCCTAGGAACACAAGCCCATCTATTATCCTCCTACTCAGACTCTAAAATGTCTTACACAGGGCTTGACATTTCTGCCAGTCAAACTTCCACTTTAGAGACCCCATGTGACTATTTTAGTTTCCACTGCTGACAGTTTGGTTCTGTTACAATGAAGGTTCAGCCAAGTCTTTCTAATGTAGGCTCTTTCATTGTCATACATGGAGATTATGGGTCCCTGCCTGCCCCTCACAACCTGCACAGTTTCAGAGAATGTTACTATGCAGGTCAGGGACTTTAGTCCCTTAGCTAGCAGTCTGAATTTAGCTTTCAGAGTTTCCCTCTTACATTTTCCTACCGTGACTGGACAGACAAGAACCAAGTTTCTCTCATGCATCCTTAGCAGGTTTAGTGTTTTAATCCTCTTGATTGAAAATAAAATAGTTTCACGTTTGGACATTTTCCTTTGGTTTAGGGAAAGACAGAAACTGTTTCTGTCATGCACTTGTATGTGAAATGTGATGGAAGGGGTTCTGTGATGGGTGGTAAAGGATTTTTATGTTAAGGCACATGTTGTCTGAGATTGCCAGAAGAATGTGGTTAGCGGAAGGGGAAGTATGAATATAAGTACTTAAACATTTTGTAGGCACTACATACCTCCTGTGGGCTAAGGAAGTAGTGTTCAAATGTCCTGCAATCTTCATGACAGAAGTGGGGGGAACAGATCTTCAGCTCATCTGTGGAGTTAGGCACAAAGCCTCTGTAGTATTCCCACTGTAGTATAGGATGTTTAATGTTCATCTTCGCAGTTCATCTTCTCAGCATTTACCCAACTCTGATTCCATGGTCACCATGACATGGCAATTCTCTAAGGAATTTCTTTAGCACCTCTCTTTTACTTGCAGAGTCACAGATCACTTCATTTAGCATCAATGGCTAATTTTTTTCTCTGCTTGCCCTTTCTCCTACCTACCCCTTTGCACTGCTGGGGCCAGCACTCAGGTTGTTACTACAATTATTTTTGTAGTATTTTTTTTTTTCCTTGAGCTTCACACTTTTGCTTCCATTGACATAATTAACATACACAAATCATAATTACCATGCTGGAATGACCTCTTGGATAGATCTCTTCTCAGCTTTGAACAAGCAGGAAATACAATCCTGCAGATCTATTTTTGCAGCTCCTGCCATGCATCGGATGCTGACACTTCTGCATGCACCCTGAGGTGCCCGGCACTGTCAGTGCCCTGTGCTCAGGGTATTAATTGGCTAGCCAACAGAAAAACAGCCAATCAAACAGCTTAAGTAACAAAGGCAGCATTGTATATTTACTCTGATTATCTTACTTTTGCCTAATGAAGCTGCTTTAAGGTTTCTCTCCTGGCAAGGATCCAAAATGCTTTTATCTGCCTGCATGCAGTGGGCTGTCAAGCTGAGAGAAAAAGCCTCCTTTGTGTGCATGGTCTGTCTTGTTTTCAGAGTTGCTGCAGAGGAAATGGTGGATATCTTTGTGGGTGCCTTGACTTTCATATGGTGAAGGAGGCCTCTAAGGGTGTCTTTTTCATAAATGTTCTGATTTTTTTAAAAAACTTTGATCCCTGTGAATGGAGTGTGTGTTGAGAGTGCATCAGGCACGCAGTTTCTTCACCATGTGGTTCCCCCACTTTGCTTAATTTCTACGTCACTAGTGATATTACTGGGCCCACTGCTTATTTGCTAATGCCCTCTAGAACTGGCTATATATCCTCTATACTGCTGGGTATATAGCCCTGGCCCCATCCTTCTCAAAGAGAACGGAGAGATCTTAATCAAATACAAAGAAACTTTTGAAGGAAGAAATAAAAAATTAAATCAAGTCATTTTTTGAAAAGAAAAAACCTTAGAAGGTTTAAAATTTACATGGCCTTAGTTTCCAGTACAATATCCAACACAGTGGTATTTTCTTTAATGGATTGCAATCCATTAAAGAAAATAGTGAGAAGTGTGAAGAGGATGCAAGCAGCATAAGAACAATCAGGTTTGTGCTCTCAAGAAAAAAAGTTTCACTAGTTTGTGTATTTATTTCTCAACTTTTATTCACAGTTAAGACCTTCCCTGATTTTACAAAAAAAATTTCTTCAATTCTAGAGTTATTTAAGACACTTTTAACAAAATTGTCTCCTAAAATTTTGCTAAGGTATCTCTTATTACAAGAAAATTTTATATATTGTGGAATTTTTTCCCAATTATTTTCTAACTGAAAAAATAACTTTGCACTTTTGTTTATATATACTTTTATTTTATATTTTATTTATTTAAGAAGTTCCTTTCATAGTCAAGTGATATACCTGCAGTAAATATAGATTATGCAAAGAAACTTGTGCTGGAATGAGTTCATACTAGCTCCAACCAAGTATGTAATTTTCACTGCTGTATGTCAGAGTGATTCAGTATACTTCAGATTGAATTTGCAAAATACTGTTTTTTCCAATGTTGGGTTTTTTCTTTCCCTTATGTTTCCCTTAAACATAAACATTTATAAAATAGGACTGCCTGGCTTCATAGTTTCCACAGAAATACAGCCATCAAACTGAAACTCATGGAATTTGCTTAGGTTTATTTCCTGAATAGATGTCAGGGTGCTGCCTGCGTGCCTCTGCTCACTGTGAGTAAGGATGGTGCCCAGATCTGTGCAGGGACCAATGTGTCCCTGAGTCCTGACAGCCAGATCCCTGGAAGGGTGTATTAAGGCACCCCTGGCACTAGTTTCTCAAAAGAAATGCACTAACCTGGAGAAAATGCAGGGTATGAAGAGAACAGAGATCAAATTGGTGGAAGGTGGTACTGACTTGATCTCTGCACTTTCGTAGTCAGGTTGGTTGTCTGTTTTTTATGGCCACAATACCTGAATTTACAGATATTCTGTGAATGATTTGGTAAGAGCGCAAGGACAGAATAAATGTCATGTTCCAGGGAAGCTGGCATGGAGACCTGCATGATGATACAGCAGTCAGACACCTTCTAAAAGTAACTTCTTGTTTTTCCAGTGACAGAGGACAGTGAGGTGCGTCTGGAAACTTGAAGGAAAAAGAGATTACAGTCATTACAAATGTTCTTATGCTGAAGTCACCATTTGCTTTCATTAATCCATTGATCATGTATTAATGAGAGTGACTGAGTTAAAGAGGAGGGAAGTGAGCTGCTAGTGGGGGCACTGGAGACAATTCCATCCAACCAACTCTGTCTGATTGGAGAGTCCTAATCAATGCCAAATAAAAACCTTTAATATATGCAATCTTCTTAATGCACAAAACTCTTTTCTCCTATACAGTCCTTTAGATCTCATTTCCCTTCTTCTGCTATTTCTATTCTAAGTTCTCAAACAAGAATTTTTTTTATGTCTGTCCTGGTACTGCTACTGCTCTAATAATAATTAATCAAATGTTGTTATTATTTTATTATTATACTACAGACAATGTTTTTATCTTGTCTTGTAATTTAACACTAACCATTCAAAACCAGAATTCAAGAAGAATGAAAAATCTATTTTATCTACCAATAAAAGGTAATTTTTCATTAATATGCAGAACAGTTTGCATTTTTTTCTACAATAATTACTTATTTAACCTTTCAAAATTTAGATTTTTTTTTTATGAACAACAGTATCAGACATTGTCTGATCATTTTGCTGGCTTTTATAAAAGATAATGAGTACTCTTCCTTTGCGTGTTCAGTGTAAAGTAATTGTCGCTATCTTGTGGTTTTAAGAAATGTTCAGTCACCATAAACAACGTATTTCAGTTTATGAAAGACGTACCATATATGTCACTTTCTGTTTAGTGTGTGCCTATTCCAAGATACCAAAGGAGCTGAAGTAGGTTCATAATGGATGTCGTTGTTTGCTTTAGGTAAAACAAATACGTTTTTTTGATCCTGTGTGTATGAACAGAAAATGCTGTGTGACAAATCCATAGATAAAAGACATATGCAGCTGCTTCTCAGTATCTCAAGCATGGTGCAGAGCAAATAACTAATCAATTTTCTTTTAGATCAGTAACAAGTCATGTATTAATGAGTAAAACCTGTTTCACAGTTACGTGCCATATGAAAATTCATCCTCTGGAAACATAACTTGGTTGCTGGACAACATGCAACCTTTCTGTAACAGTCAGTGTTTTATTTCCAGTATCATGTTAAGTTATTGATAACTAGCCCAAACACTCAAATATCTTAGGTCATTGAATCAACAAAACCTTTTGCAGAAAGTCTGTTATTTCATTGATTATAACCCAGAGTTCAGATTTCCTTGTACTTCTTTGGCAATGATAAAACAAAAGAGGAAAAGAACAACAGAAAAGCAAACCAACCTCGCTCAAATTAGGATAAGAATGTAATTTAATTCTTATTTCTCCACACCTTTTACTGACAGGTAGCTATTAGGTGCTGCATCAGAATGGAACATCTCGCATAGTGAAAATTAAATAAATTACTGCTCAATGTATCAAAAATCTAATTAGAAAAGCTTGACAATTTTTGTGTTTTGACTTATTTTCAGTATTACAGTATCTTTACCCAAATATGTATTAGCTATGAATTCTCATTTTAAGCAGGCTTATTTCACTATGAAATTATTTTTAGAGTTTGTACCTTCCCTGCATGAATCTTTTAAAAGCAAGAAACCTCTTGTGTTACTGTCTACATAAAAATGTTAATATGTTTTTCCTCCTGTGCAGATTCAACAAAAATATCCAGAATCATAAAATCACAGAATATGCTGAATTGAAAGGTACATATTGGAATCAATGAGTTCAACTCCTGGCCCTACACAGGACACTCCAAGAATCACATCATGACTGAAAGCACTGTCCAAATGCTCCTTGAATTCTGTCAGGCTTGGTTGTGTGGCCACCTCCCTGGGGAGCCTGTTCCAGGGCCCAGCCAGCCTCTGGGTGAAAAACCTATTCCTGATATTCAACCTTCCATGAATCAGTTCCATGCCATTTCTTTGAGTCCTGCCACTGGTAATCACAATAAAATGTCATCTCTCTATAAGTGGGGGTATGTGGGTGTGAGTTTAGGTCTTAGATTTGCTAAAGAAGAATGTGCAAGGTAATTGGGGTTGCCTTTGTCTCTGTTTTGTCTGCAGTAGCAAGTAGACCAGTAGAAGCAAGATCTGTACTATGAAGCACTTGGTGTTCATGCCCACACAAGTCACATTTTAATGATGGGGGGATAAACTCTAGGCTATCCTATATTTTCCAGCCCATTTGCAGCTGGTGTACTGGAAGTCGTCCTTCTTCCTTAGTTTCACCTGAAAGAATTTCAGTTCAAGTACTCCATGGCAGCTCCATGGTGCATATCAAAACAGAGTAAATGGGGACAATTGGCAGTTCAAAACCGCTTTCCTGATACAAATTAAAACACAAATGTAGGCACATATACTGTGTCTCAAAAGACGTAATCAGGCCATAATCAGAAAGATATGAAGTGGCTCTTAAAAGGCAGCAATAGAATCTAAGAAATGGCAAGTCTAAAGGAAAAGTATACTTACTATGGATATCGGTGCACAAAACCAATGGAATTGAATAAATGCTGTAACCTGATCAGAAGGTATGAGATGTAGGAAAAAAATAAGCAAATGGACACCTCTTAATACTATAACTAAGGGACATTAGAATTTTTTCATAATATCAAGGAACAAATGGAATTAAAAAGCAACATTCACTGGTCTTTATACAAAGAAAGTCTGTCAGACAAAATACTGAAAAACCACAAAAGTCAACACAGATGTAGCATGTTTCATTCCAAAAGAATAAGCCTGTATACAAGCTTGTACAAGTAGAGGGACTGGAGGATTTGAGAAAAGACATAGTGTGCAGAACCATCTGCTGCTGAAACAGTGGATTTACAAACTGAAATTTTCTTAAGTTGCATTGAATAAGAGTCCCTTTTCTTATTCTCACACACTTTTCATTGCAGTTACATGTGTAGCAGCATGACATATGAGGGAAAGAATAATAAAAGGGGAAGGAAACAAAGATACTGCACAGATGCCTTCTCCCTACCCCTCGCCCTGATTATTACTACAGGTTCTGCTGAGACATTAGAATATCTATGAATTCATTGGCAAGGATCCATGCCATCTAATGAAGAAAACTGACTCACAAAAGGAAGACCTTGTTTCTTGCTATTTGAATGGGAAATTCCCTCATAGCAGAACACTTGTTGCTGTCTAAACATAATGCAATAAATAGATGGCATCCACTTTGTATTTCTTGAGCAATGTGTTTACTGTAATTCACTTGAATACATATAAATCTGTACTAATAGTTTTTTACTAGGTGCTATGCTTGACTCAGTAGGTGTTAACTTTGATTTAGTAGATTAAATATCTGATTCAGCAGGTAATTCACATGTTTCAACAGGCTGTATAGTTGATTCAACCTATGAATTCTGGCAGTGTTTATTTTTTCCAAAGTTTGTTTTATCCACATTAGAATGAACTTTGTTTAGTACTCCATATGGCACATTACTTTAAGTGCAAGTTAAACATTTTATCTTGAATGTATATTGTAAAGTGTTCATTTAAATATATTTATATAGCCTTTCTGAATTTCAAGCAGGAGATTATTCCCTTGTGGAAAGTTTTGTGTTTAAACATTATTCTTCTATTAATGTTAGTTTTTGTTCAGTTGTCATACTGAAATTTCAGAAACACAAAAAAAGGTGTTTTTCTATTTTTTTAACTATTTCATACCCAAAGGATATCAAAACATAAAAGCAGAATAGGGAAAAGATGCAGGTTTCAAAATATGATGGTTCCTCTTTGACAAATGGATATTTATTTTTTGCTTTTTTTAATCAAGTCCTTTTACGTCTTACAGGTTGTACAGCAGAAACTAATTTAAAAGAAACCTTGATAATAAAGCAGTCAGAGGAGAATTGGCATGGAGAAATATGGAAAAGAAAAGTAAGGAGAAATTAAACAGTAATATGGTGGTGTTGGTTGAATATCTGAGGACAGACTGTGGAAGAACATGTTACAACTTCTGAAGTAAAAGTTTTGGCAATAAGGTAACATTTAAGTTCACAGGAACTGCATCAAAAATGAATGCAGAGAAGACCTGTGGCATTTCATAGTGATGTGTGTCAGAGCTAACAAAGAGCAGGTCTTTTAGGAGGCAGGACAAACATGCAAGGAAGTTGTTACCCTGTCTGTCACACCACCATCTAGTGGGCCTTACTAAGATTCTCACTATGCAAAAGTAAATGTAATCTTGGCTAGCAGAATGGACTGGTTCTGAATCTTTCCTGGAATCTTAGCAGTAGATTAGCTGGATTTCAGTTGCTAAAATCATGAAATCAGGTAAGCAGGAGTTGACAAGTAGGATCCTAAGTATCCAGGCCAAACTCCATCATAGCTAGACATATATCTCTTTTTATACTCATCAACTGCTCAGTGTTTTTCCTTTCACACATTAGACTACTGATGGTTAGACATAAACCTGTAATGAAAACAATTTTGTTTAACTTCTTAGATATTTCACTGAAAGCTACTACTCCATGCAACTTGAGCATCCCATGGTGGCAAATATTCTTTTATTTAATTTGACTTCTATTATTTCTTGTTCTAAATGATAATTGCAGTTCTTCATTGCAGATGGTTAATCTTGTTTTAGTTTGCAATTATTGTTTTATTTGTATTTTAATTATATATTTCATGTTTTTTAGGTATAATAGAAAGTTGGATAGTTCTGTAAAATACCTGGCACAGAAAACTAGGAAGATGCAAAATAATAAATAGGTAAGACAGGAGAAGAATAAATGCTGAAATGCTGTAAATAGTTTATATGATTTTAGCCTTTCAACCTTATGTTAGGTTATCCTAACTTTGCACTTCACAGTCATTGTACTGAGTATTGGCTATACTGACTGTTTTTATTTACATCTTCATGGATTGATAAATTAAAATGCAATTTTTGCATCTCCAACCTTAATGTTTTTAAAATGCAGAAATTAGAATTTCCTAGACAAAGTAATTTTATTTATTGAAATTGATTTTGGATGTTTCTTGCCATTGACTTTTTGAACAACTGTGCTAAAGAACTGTAACTATGATGCTGATGTACTATGCTCTTGATCTGTGTTGGAATGGGCTAAGTTTTACCTTTGTAATGCATGACTAAAGGTATTAGAGGTAAAGAAAGCATGAATATCAATCTGTTTCTGTACTCAAAATGACCCCTGGTTTTATTAGTAATGGAATCTAGGTGACATCATCTTTTGACAGTCATGATCTTTAACCCAGTTTGATCTAAACCAGACTCCTTTGGAATGATATCATTAAGGTAAATCCCTGAAAGAAGAGCAAGACATTTTATTATAAACCATTTAAGGGTATTAAGTTACTGGGAATGATTTCACTGATTTTTCTCCTTATAAAGGACAAACAATTTCAAGATTGCAGGTTAATATTAAGAGACAACTGAACTTCGAATTTTTTTGCAGTTGTATTAGGTTTAATTTTCTTAAATAAATTGTAAGTCTTCACATCTTTTAAAACATGATACAGAAGTCACTGAAGTATTTCTTACATGAACACTGCAGTAAAAACTGTATTATTATATTTAATTCTATTAAGCAAAATTGAACTGCAATAAGAATAAAAAAATAATAATAAAAAAAAGGTAAAGATTTTGTACAAGGAATCTTATTCTTTCCACCCTATCCACTTTAAACCCATTCCATCAGTCCTGTGAATTCATGTCTCCTTTCAGTAACTGCCCATCCTGGGACTGTTCTCCTTTTCTGTCACATATTGACTAATGATTTAATGAATTAACCAAGATCTTTTGTTTATCATGTATCAAAAAAAAATATTATTTTAAAAGTTGAACATTGGTACTAAATGAAGAATGGTACAGTTTTGATTTGATACCAGAGAGAAAAATATTGTTCAAAATACCCACTTAGGCAAGGAAAGCTGTAAACAAAGATGTGTGATTTGATTGCGATATAAATTTTTGCTCTTGATTTTTTCCATTTCTAAAAATCTTGAAGACACTGAATGGAAAGAAAAAACAGCAACTAAACACTCTCAATAGCAAAAATGCACAAGTACACTTTGAAGAGCTTTGTTGCTACCGAGAGAAACATTATCTTTTATTCAATTGATTTGTTTTGTCAATGTTTTTCCCTGAAAGCAGATTGCATACAGACATCTTATGAAATCTTATAGTGGCATTATATTGAGCTTAATCCTGATATTTTTGGTAGCCTTACTTTTGCATTTATCTTCCAGCCAGGTGTTTCCAATAGTTTTGACTGTAAGATAACCCAATAGCTGGTGATTAATGTAGCCATCGTAAAGAATATAAACAATCCCGGAAACAGAACTCAAAGTTCAAATATGGATGCTAACAGTAATTGCTTTTAACAAGTGCAAGGAAGAAGTGAGAGGAAACCTGGCATTGAATTTTGTGTTGCCAAAGAGCAACTGACCAGCGATAACAGAAGCATCAGAAACACAGAGTGCAGAGAGGTAGCACTTTGCACAGGAAGTATCATGAAACAGCCCATGTCAGCCCAGTAGTAATTGGGCCTTTGAAGTTTCAAATGTGAGAAGAGATGAACATTCATCTTTAAAGTGTGCTGAGTCTCAGGGATTACTTTTGGTTAAAGTAGGAATGTGCAGTTATTTGAAACCTGACCCCAAGGTCTCTAAAAAGTTTGGCTTAGGTTGTGCTAGGAATGACCTTGTAAATTTAGACAGCTGCTAGACTACTGCTAGGAGCAAATTATTACAGCAATTGTGATTTTCATGACTAGCATAAAAGCAAAGGGCACCTATTTAAGACCTGTGAGGTCAACTTTCACATTTACTACATTGCAGAGGAGGAGAAGCGGTGCAGTTTCGCGAGAATAAGATACTGTGAAGAACGTTGAGATTCTGCATAAAGCTGGAGGAAAAGGAAGAAAAACACACATAAATATTGCAGTATCATTCTTTCAAGACATGAGTTATTCTAGCAAAAATATATTACTTCAGAATATTTTATTAAAAAAAATTAATTAAAAAAATTCTTGTAAGTATTTAGAGCCAAGGTGCCAAATATTAAAAACATATAGCAAACCTTGAAATGCTAACAGTTTTTTTTTATTGTTTTGCCTCTTTTTAAAAGAATAAATATTTAAGCAAAATAGGTTTGTCAAAATACAGTTGATTTTCTTTTTTGACTTTGTTGGAATTAAAGACTGGATATAAGCCTAAAGATATGACTTTGTGGTCACTTTATTTAATGTCATGTCAATCAGAGATTGAAATCATCAATTCTTTATTTGAACTTTGAAATTGTTTCTATTTGATCTATGTATTTAAGTTGTTTGGTTGATTGGAATGGTTTTATTTTATTGTTTCTATTTGATCTATGTATTTAAGTTGTTTGGTTGATTGGAATGGTTTTATTCATATGAATTAAAAACTCATGTACAATAATCTTTCTTTATTCAACTTACTGACATGTCACAACTAACCCATTTATTTGGTTTATTTTCACCTTTGTGACTCAAATGTTTATCAGGAAACCAACTGAATTCTAAACAAAAATTCAAAAATTGATTTTGCATGTCTGTACTAAGATGTTATGGTTTAACAGAGATATCTGGAATCCAAAAAGGTATCTTTCTCCAAAATGTTGAAAGCTGATGATTAATATTACTATAATTTGGAGCTCAAACTCATGAGCTTTATTGTGCTGACTACTATTCTCACCAAAAGCAGAACTTACAAAAGCCTGATAGAAAAAGAAGCAGCAAATTAGATTTTACAATGAGTGATATTGGTTATGGTGTTCAGGTGTTTGTGGTATAACATTTAAAAGATATTTTGAGGAAGGACTCACTGATGGAGAAATTGGAAAGATTAAAAAAAAAATCTTAAAAAATTAATGGAAGATAGTCATAAGAGGATAGGCATTTTAAAAGAAGATTGGATTTGGTGGGTAGCTGAGAGAACAAGGAGAAGAGTGAATGCTAGTTTCCTAGGAAGATTCCATTAGGCATTTGAATGAGAGTGGTTTTTACTGAATGTAAAGCATAGGATCTTATTTGAGAGGATCTAGGATAGACTGCATTTTAATTTGTGTATAATATAGAACTTCACTTAGCTCAGAGGTGCAAGACAGATAGATCACCTTGGCAAGCAGATCAGTAAGCTACACATATTTTCAAGGAGAAAGAGCCACAAGCATTTTAGAAGTGTGGACAACCAAGAAAATGCATCAGAATGAACTCAGGAAGGATCAGCAAGTGGGCTGGATTCACTAGTGAGTATGTAGGAGAAGGTTTGGTCTTGCATTTTGTCAGTCAGTATTTAAAATGAATTGGTGAGCCCCTATGTGCTGAAACAGAAATTTGAGGAATGAGCCAAGTGCCACAAATGATGATGTGGACAGGGCACATGAGTTCTTGGAAGAGAAGCAGACCTGTTTAGCCTGAACATAAACCTGCTCATTAGATAAATTCCAAAGCTGAAGAATAATATGAATTTAGATATTAGACATTCACTAATGGTAAGTATTCCATCAGAATAACAGAGTGCAAGAATGAGCCATGGCTTGCAGTCGTAGAGTAGGCCTTGCAATACAAGCCATGGAAGGTGAATGAGGGACAGAAAAAAGTGAGAAACAATAAAGATCATGATTTAATGATAACCACAGGGTCTTTGCCTTTGTACATGCTCAGCAGTCATCTCTTCTCCTTTTAGATCCATTAATACAGGCAGGAATGTTTTTTTTTTTTAATATTGTGATTTTTAACCCCTTGTAGCTAACTAGAGCTAAATAAATCCTTTGCTGTCCTTTATGTTTCTAGAACTGGATGTCTGTTCTTAATCCTCTTCAGGTTTCAACAGGTTTTTTTAAGTGTGTGAACAGAGGTTAAATTTTCCAGAAGGTATTTCTTTAATCTATATTCAATCTAAGATCACATTATTACGTATTATCATGTTCTTGGTGCATCAATTAAGTCTGTATATTCTAGTATCTTCTAAAGTTTGAAAAACTTATTTTGCTTTCTTTCCTCTCAGTAAGTTTTCATGGAATTCACATATTTTGGAAGTTATACTGAAGAAAGTACTCAGAAATATTTGGGTGAATTAGTTCACCGACTGTACTACCAAAAGATTTTAGATGGTGCTAAATATGCATCTAGAAGCCACACTTGTCAAGGGGGGAAGTTGCCCAGTACAAGAAGCATGTATTTCTGCTGCCATGGTGCAATTTTGCCATTGATTTCAAAAGCAGAAGTAAATGAAAATGTTCATTAGGATTACCCACGTTGATCCCTATCCTGTGCTGTTTGATGACATTTTTTCTGTTTTAAAAATATTAAACCTCTTTGTTGAGCTTGCCCCCTCCCTTCTACTAATGAACTTATCATTTTAGTATTTCCTAAGGGTTTTATATTTGTAAGTGACATTAAGTCTTGTGTACTCTGCTGTTTCTGACTGGCACTTCACACTTAGCCCTTTCACTCTCATCTCAGAAATTTAACAACATTGTTCGCTATATTTTAGTTGTCAGTGGAGATGAAAGTTTTTCCCAGCAAAATCTGCCATGGAGTTGGCAGTCACAGAGCAACTGACATCCAGAGCAAGTCCCTCTCTGTAAGGGTTATGGCATGATACTGATTGAAGTAATGTTAGGGTTTTGCATGCCACCCACCTCTGGTGCATACACAATAGATATGGTGCTTGGACATCTTCTTAACACCTAACACTAGGGCTGGCAACTGTAGTGGAATATTCTTGAAAGTTAATGCATTTTGTTTGTAGTCAATTATTTACTCTTCTGCCTATAGAAGTGCACATGTACTATATATGTAAAACCTTATAAAATGTTGGGACAACTATTAGCAAAATACTAAGATGTAAAGACTTAAAAAATATTCATGTAATCTCATCTTTATGGGCATCAAGCTCTTCTAATGGCTTTGTAAAAGATGGAGATTGAATTTTGTTTGTAGAAGAGAGTCCAGTCTCTCTTTGGATATTCTGCAATTTAGGACCCACAGATGGTTTCATTCAAGTGGATCTAGTTTAATTTGCTTTGTCAAATGCACTAATCCTGATGAGCAAGCCCCAAATGAAAAGCTAGCTTGGACAGGCTCTGTCAATAACCCTTTATGGTAATGAATATCACTTTAAATTGTGTCCACCGTTTAAGCAATGTGGTGTGCAGTGTGAAAGTTCTTAAAGATGGAGGAGAGACATGGATAGAAACATTTTAAAGATGTGCTGATAAAACACATGAGATTTCAAGACCCAGAAAAGCATGGCACTCTGACAAACAGGTAAAAATATTTGGGATTAGGAAAAACATTTCTGCAGTTTGTGTGAAAAGACACAGAGGAATTTATCAGCCTGGACCTTCTAATAATTTCTGAGAAGTATTTTCTTCTGGAATTTTTCTTTCTTGTTTGGTTTTATAGTCTTACATTGAGAGGGGTTTCTGTGTTTCCTCACCTCTGAAAACTAGCTCCAAAATATCCAGAATAAGTTTCCAAGCTCTTTTGAGCTGTCCCAGCTTGACTGATACTACTTTTCCATTGGAGTAATCACTATGCTGTCAAATAACACTCACATTACTCCTTTAATCTTAATTTTAGTGATGTCAGGCTCCAGTTTTAATTTATGCATCTTCTCAACATTAAAAAATGGGGAGGATGTGTGTGTTCATGACCGTACTGACTAAAGTGCTTTCAGTAGACTGTGGTTGGTGTATCTGACAGAGAATACAGAAATTAAAATATCATGATGAAACTGTATCTATACAGCAGCACCAGTCTAGTAATTGTTTCTGTCATCACTCAGTTCTTGCTGATGGATTTTTCCAACTTTTACCCTTGATTGGCTGGACTGATCTTGATTCAGCTCTAGGAAGAGGATGGAAATTGCAACTGCTCAGGAACTGGCAACAAGAACCCCTATATTAAAATACTTAGAGAGAGTGTATGAAGCACCTGAGATCTCTCAGTGGCTGACTAAAATACTATAAAGTGGTTACTGTAGTAATCTCTGTTGGGATAAAAAAATCACTTCAAGACTATTGCATAAAAATATTTGATAACCTTTTTCAGGTATCCAGGGGCAGTTCTAAATGATCTTGATTATTCTATCGTGTACTTTGCACTTTTGTGACTTGTGTTCTGCATTTTCCTTCACGTTGAGAAACAGCATTGTTTTGCCAAGTAACCTATATATGACCCCCTCCCCCATCAGTTATTAACACCGTGCTAATTTAAAGAAATATGCATTACAGTTTTGCTATTTATACAACACCTGAAAGCATGTTTACATTGCTCCATTTCAAAAGAAACTGCTCTATGAAATACTTGAGGTTGTCTCAAGTCCGGTCAGGGCTCACATCATTAAATAAATATCAAAGCAAACAACTGAGTTTTGTCTTTGATTGGAGAACTTCAAGGAATAAATATGCCAGTATACTTTAGTCCTGCCATAACTTTACCATGATTGCTTATATGCTTATGAAATGAAACAGTCTATTAGTACAAAGTAAATGTTAAAATTGCGAACCAATATTTATCTCAATCATAAGGCAAGCTGTTTCTTTTTCCAAACGAAACATGTTTACAATTGCATCTGCCTGCTGTGACTGATAAAGCTTGATAGTACGTTTGCTAAGTGTGTCTCAAAAGTTTTCCATGGATATTGACTTTACAACCTCCTGCAGACAGAACAGCCATAACATAATCTACCTGTAAAAAAGAATGAAGAAGTTATTTGTCAGTAATTGCATGCTAGAAATCTGAATACCAGACTTCTTTAAAAAGAAGTTTTGCAGGTATTTATTGCAAGAAGAAATTCTATTGGATTTCCATCACAAATAGTAAATGATAAAATGATAATATGGGATAAAACAATGGCCTAATTTTTAAGGTGTAAATGAGTTTCTACTAATTAAACTGATTCAATTTTGGTGCCACGTAGAACTTCAGTACAGGTCAGGGTAAATGAAACTGGTACTGCTGTGCTAATAACCCACAAATGTGCACTGAAACATGGACAGCCTGCTGTATTACGTTCTATGGTTAAGGATATCAGGTGAAATTTGGAATGGTAAGTTTCTTCCAAAATAGCTTACATTTTTATTCTTCTGAATAACATTGACACTTTTTAATGGCTCATTTTGCTTTTCTAATTAGGAAAACTTCTGATTCATCCTTTCTGGTGGCTTGCGATGCTCATTTGAAGCTGAGGGAAATATTTTTATTGTACAAT